CCCTCTCTCTACATTCTGCCCATTTGTAGAGTAGGATTTACCCCAGCCACATGTGTAAACACATCTGACTTTCCTGGGAATCTTTGTCAGCACATTGCTACTCTGTGGATTGATTGATTAAAACCCCTGAAAGTTGAGTCAGTCCATTCGAAGGCAACAGCTTTGTCCACGGGTTGAGGAGGTGGTGGGAAGAGATGAAGGGTCCTCTTGGAAGTCACTGCTGATTTCAGAAATAACCAAGGTCTAATGAACCCGAGTTATAAAGAGGTGGAGATAATGCTTTTAAATTGTCCTGGTTCAGTGTGAGACAAGGGGAAAAGGGCAGATTCTACTTTATTAGAAGTTGCTGACGCAATTCTCCAAGTCTCCAGAGCCTTCCTAAAGCACAAGTACGCCACCCACGCTGAGGCTGCCTTGATCACTTTCTCCTGGGGACTTCATTCACCCCCCACTTCTGTCATCCACTGTGGGCGCTGCAGGGACAGAACATCATGTCAAGGGGTCAGGTAGATGTCAGGACACGGAGCTGCTTATAACACTTCCTGCTTATCTCACTATCTAAAGAGGCACATCGGGAGATAAAGATAGGGAGCAAAAAATTACATACTTATACCTACGTTTACCTATTCTCAAAGTAGGTAAACTTGCAAATGATACTTTTAAAGGATTTTTAAACTCCACTGGTGAATATAAACTAAAAATTGGACAATTGGACAGAAAAGGGGGAACACAAGAAAGTGCCAGCTGGGGGCTCCACCCTTCTCCTGAGACCCGCAGCCCTCATCCCGCTTAGTTCATGCTGCAGGTTTGGTGCTTCAGAAAAGCAAGGACTGTATGTATGTGCCTGGCTTTGTCCTCCAGGTCCTGCCGAGATTTTTGATTTTTGAGCGGTGACCAGCAGCTGTCCGTGGTTGATTACATAGCCTGTCCTAGCACTCAATGGATATTTTAAGTCCAGCCAGCCATCAATCCTCCAGACAGCGCACATCATGGAATATTTAGTAAGAAAGCATGATCCCCATTCATAAAGTTCTGAAAGTTAGGACAGGCTGGGTCTCCAACATCTTATAGTACATTCTGGTTGCTTTCAGCAGAGGTCTGACTGGTTCTTTGAATTAGCCTTGGCTTTCTGTCCATGCGTAAAATATTCTGAACAGTAACTCAGCAAATCAGACTCAAATATTGCCCACAATGCACTTCCCAGATTCATACAAAAGACAGAAGTTTGGTTAGAATTTTCTCAATGATTCTATATCCAGTTGGTGTGAGCAAAGACCCCCAAATTCTATTAAACTCCTTAGTGATGTGAACCAGATGGAAAATAAAACAAAAGAATTCACAACTCATGTTAGACTGAATTGAATGTCTTTAATTTCACACAATGAATAACATATGAATAGGATTAACTTTTTTTTTTTTTTAATAGTTAAGTGCTCTATACTGTGCTAACCTGATCTGGTAGCGAAAAGACTGAGCTTTCTTTTAGAAAAAATGTTTAAAACCCAACATCTAAGACCATGGAGGAGCATGACAGTAAAGCATGCCAGATGTATCTACGCCTCAAATAACAGCAAGTCCATGTTCATTTTAAATGTACAAAAATGCTTTATGAATAAAAACTGTTACAAAAAGAACATTTCAAACAATGTACAATTTTTCTTGCCTCTATATTCAATAAAATACAAATACATTTTTTGTTCTAAAATATGTTTACATACAATCAAAGTAGAACATGCAAATTACACTTTAAAAAAGGCTTTTAAAAACCACTTATGAATACAAACTAAAAATTAGCCAGCACGACTTGTAAGACAATCTTGTGCCCCATTTTTTTCTTTTGAAATATATATATACATATTTAACACATCATGTGCATTTATTATTATTTAAGAAATAGATTTTTTAAAAAAAGGAAGAAAAAGAAAGACACCAACCGAGGTTGGAACTGCTCTTCTGCATTGACGAGACGCAGCTCTTTTTAATCTCCCCCTCCCTTTAGTGTTTATTGTACCTGGGCAAGTGGGCAATAGATTTCCAGGAAGTTTCTTCCTTGGTTGATATGTGCTTCTAAGACTGTTCCCCAAGTGTCTGAGTCCAACCAGGAAGGAAGACTCACGAGTGGGGTGAACTCTCCAAAAAACAGGAGGCAGAGGGAGCCTTGTACTGTGGAAAGAAACTTTAAAACACACCAAGAAAATGCTACGGTATATTACAGTTCGAGTTTCTAGGCACTGTGATGACATTATCTGTAAGCTCTGGCATTTGGACCATTGTGATACTATAGGGTAGTGTTGAGAATGATGTCTATATTTATCTACTTTTACATAATGAGAAGGACTGAAAATCCTGCAATGTAACACTTAAATGGCTTTTGAGGCATTTCGGCTTCTGCCACCCCCTCTTCTCTCCATGCTACAGTTGGCATTTAAAGGCTTTGGAAATGTATGTATAGACTTTTAGACAGTTCCCAGGTAAATCTTCCTAGTGGTAGGGAAAAAATTTCTCCAAAAGCTCATTATCAGAATATTGTTAGGTAATAAGCTGTAGGAGTAGGATTTTCTACTTAAGTCCTAAAACCAAATCCTTTATGATCTGCATGTAGTACATCACCTTATGCTATAATAATTCTGTCACCACTTGCTTATCATATTTATAGACCCAGCAATGCGAAGAACACAAATTCTGACTGTCATTGAAAAAGGCCCCCCACTCCAGGTATCAGCCAAGTTAACATGCTAATCCTCTGCCAGCCCTTAGTCACCTGCCCTGGGCTGTCAGTGGCTATTGGTGCCGGTCCTGCCAAGTCCTCCCAAACCAGCCTCTGACCGGCTCTTCTCTTTCACCTTCCTTCCTCGGGTTAGAGCCAGAGCAGGCTATTTGAAGATGTCGAACTTCTGTTCCCTTCATGTGAGATTAGGAGTTCTAAAGCAAGTGGTTCCCAGACACTTAGGAAAATGGATCAGAGACCCATCATCCCCTTCAAGGAGACTTCTCTATCTCCAGCTCATCCATTGCTCACCCCAGTCAGACTCCCTAAAGTTTAAGTGGGTTCATGCCTGCCTCTCACTGAAGGCAAGTAGTCCAGAAAAAGTAAAAACAAAAACAAAAAACAAGGGTTTCTCTTATAAGGAAATATTTTGTGGAGCTTCTTATGGAGTCTTGCACAGCCCAGATGACAACCAGCAGGCAGTGTGGGGTAACCAGAGATCCCCGCAATCAGGACCTGGAGAGCTGGGTTCTCATCCTGGTTATGCAACCAACGAGAAGTAAGTTTGGCCCAAAATTGAGCCTGGATTGGAGACAAGAGGCTAATGGAAAAGGGGTACTTAGAAAATAGTGAAATGGTCATACTGATGAGGTGAGTTAGATTAATGTAAAGTAAAAGCAAGAAAAATAAAGAAAAGTGACGTAAAACCAGAGGAAGAGCTGGGTGCTGGAGGGGAAGCTGTGGAGGTCAATCGACTTGCTCCCACTCCCCAACAGCTGTTTCAAAAATCTTAGTTTTAGGGTCTCTGTGGTTTTCCAATCTATCCTTAGGGTCATGAACATAGAGAACTTGCATTAAAAACTCATACAACAACTGCAGAGTCGGGTTTACACATCAGTTGAAAATCTGCTCCATCTCTCCTGGAAACCCTAATGCAGCCTGGTTATTTGCAAATTCTCACCCTCTAGAGGTTATTGCCAATTCAGCTTTGGGTCCTTCTTTAAGAAGCTTAGAGTGCCAGCTCCTTCTCATCTGCAGGGAGATTGGGTCTGCTTTCAGACTTTGTTGGGAAAGAGTACCACTCCAAGAATGAAGAAGAAGGGAAAAGGAAGAATGAAGGAAATTTTTTTCCAAATCCAACAGGAGAGAAATCTCTTTATGGCTTAATTGGAATGAAAATGGTTGCTCTTTCACAGAAACGGTGGGGTGAGCGGGGCTAATTCCAGCCTTCCTCTCTGGTGTCTTTGGAACTGCTCACACATGGCTTGGGAATGACAAATTGAAAGTGGCTGGTTTGATTTTCTGTTCAACTTGTGTGAAATGCCAGAGGTCACCCTAAGTCACAAACGGAGTATCAATGATAGAGGCTTTAAAGTCCAGGAGAATGCATCCCTTTAGACTTACATATTGCTAGGGCTAAATGTGACTGACCTAGTGGGCAGCAAATGGTGTGAAGTCCATGGTGACAGTGCAGAACAGGAGGATTCTGCGGTAAGTGCAGCCAGCCTCTGGTGCCGTGACGGGGCAGAGGTGTCTGTAAGCATATCAACTCGGGATTTCAAAATTAACTCTCCTAGGTCCCCCAACCCTCTTCTCTTATGTTCCCAACAAAATCCATCTCTCACTAAGGAGATGTTGTGTTCTGAAGCGATAATACAGTTTCTAGCTGTTCCCAACTTCCTGTAAAGAAACTTTCTTTGGAGGTGAAACAGATATTCTAATTTCCATTAAAACATCAAATTTGGTCTCTCAGTGTCTCCCTTTTTATAATCTACCATGCCAGGTATTTGATGTCTTGGGGAAAGTAAGAGGAGGGGTGAGGGGGAAAATTGAAAATACTTATTTGAAATTTCCACATCTGAATTTTAGAAAACATCTACAGCAATGGAATAACTTCATATTCATTCTGAGTCTTCTTAACGTGTTTTACTTGGGCTGTGGAAATGGATAAAAGAGATGGAATCTTGTCCGCGCGAAGCAATGGCTAGGTACAACTTGGATGAAATGTACAGTTGAAATTGACCATTAAAAGACGATTTGTCACACACAGTTTGCATCCATGCAGACTGATAGGTTTATAATTACATTATGTACAAAAATGTTTTAGTTTATTAAGGCAACCACAATTTGGATACTTTGTCCAAGGTGGCTTGATACAATTGGAGTGGTGATACCCTTGAGCATTTTCTTTTTTTTTTTTTTTTTTTCAGATAAGAACACTTACTCCCATTTGCTTTTAACAAACAATTATCAAGAGATAATGGACTTCCACTTTTTCTTTGCTTTTCCCCCCAACAACTTATGATAGTTATTTGTATGAAAAAAAATCACATATCAAGGCATTGCTAGACACTTGTCTTTCTGGTGGGTCTGGGGTTTCAATTTTTGGTGATTTGTCAGTTATTCCATTCACATGGGGTATTAAAATCTTTTTATGCTGCCTATTTTCTGCTGATATGTTTGAAGAATAAAAATAACCTGGTTGACACCTGGGCCAACATATCCTTGGCTGCTCTAACTCACTTATTAAAAAAGCTGTATCCACTCTGAGTAATTTGTTTCACACAATGATTGGGATTTAAAGCATACCAAGGGTGAACATTACAACACAGGTAAAGTTTACATTACTTAGGTGTGTGCCAAGGAAAAAGAAGGTAGCAAGTAAGTTAATGAAAAGGTATATGGAAGCACAATGGGCAAAGAAAAAGTCAGAAGAGAGCGTGCTAAGTATCAGCGTACCTGGGATAGAGGAGGCGTACAAGAATATGAATCTATGTCTAGGGTTGCCTATCACTAGAATTCCACCTTCTGATTAAATGATTCCATCTGAGAAACTGTATTTATTGTTAACGGAATGATTCAGGTCACCTGAAGATGACATTGGTGCCCCAAAGCCTAGCCGAGCTTGAAAAACCAAGAGAAATAAAAACCAGATAAATGGAAGCAGGTGACAACAAAGCCAGCTGAAACATCTGCAGCTTTTTTTTCTCCCCGTGGAATATTTCCTAATTGAGGGTGATTCCCTTTCAATTTTTCCTGGCCAGCAAATGCAATGGAATCAAGGACGCACCTTGGATGCGGAGGTCAGGTGGCTGTGGGAGAGCAACACCAGCTTCCTCCTCCTTGATGGGTCTTGTGCTGGCCTATAACGGATCTAGCCATACCGAGGCGCCGCTTGGATGGGAACCGCTGTAAAGCAGACACGCTTTTCCTGAAGGTATCCCCCTGCTTTGCTTCCCCAAGAGCTAATGATGGTGGCTCCAGCCTGGTTATCTGGCCCGCATCTGCCGGCCCAGCTTCTGCAGAGAAGGGCCTTGGTGGTGTCCCTGCAGCGGGGGAGTCCGCCCCACCCGCTCACTGCACTTGCAATGTGTCAGTTCCCCCAGCCCCAGGTTCGGAAGCCCAGACCCACCCTAGGGAAGGCCATCGCTCTCGCTCCCTCGGGATTTCCTCTGCCTTTTGGCCTTGACCTCCTCCTCCTGGGGAAGGGGCTGTTGTGGGGGCGGCTGCTGCGGGGACTGCACTGGAGGCTGAGGTTTGTGTTTCCTCTTTCCGCCTCGGGGTGTCTTGGGCAAAGGTGGGGGTGGGGGCGGGGGTGGGGGCGGGAGGGGCGGGGGTGGGGGTGGGAGGGGTGGCGCCTCCCGGGCCATGTGGATGACTGCCTCGATGGTGGCCATGATGGTGTCTTGGCTGGCAGCCGGCTCTAGCACAAGCGGGCTCAGGCTGGGCTTCTGACCTCTTTTGCTCGGCAGGTCGATGCATTTTTCCAGCACTGGCATTTGGTCTCTGGAGTCTTCATCGAACTGGTTGGGCTGCTTTCGGGGCCGCCCTCTCCTCTTCTTGACGAAGTTGTTGCCTGTCTTTGATTGTCTCTGCAGCCGCTTGGCCTTCAGGATCTTGTTCACGTGGTCCAGGTTCTTTTTGGTGGACAGAATCTTGGTGTAGTGGCACATCTTCCGCACCTCGCACTGGATGGCTTCTATCTCCCGACGCTTGAAGCGCTTCTTCAGGGAGGAGCTGGCTGCAGGCAGGGAAGAGAGACAAAAAAACTGAACACAGGTTGCAAGCTGCATTAATCCCCCCTCCCCCTCCCCGCTTTCTTCACAGAATTTCACTATGAAGATTCTGGAGAATTAATACTATCTATATGACTCAGTAGTCAATATTTAGTCTTCCTCTTTCATTATTAAATAAAAATAAACATCAGTCAAACAGCTTATATATACAAAGCATTTCTGCCTATATTATTTTAATCTTCTCAGCAATTCTGTGAAATACTCATGTTCCCATTTTTATTTGAAAACTGAGGCTCATGCAGAGTAGAAGGGAGTCAATGCCAGAACCACCACAGAAAATTTCCCATGCCTTTTTCCTACTATGGTTTTTATTCAGCCCTTTGACATTTGGTTTGATTCAATTTAGCATCAGGTTATTCCTTCTTTTTTCACAGAAGCTGTTGAGTGAATATAACAGCACCTGGAGTATAAAAATAAAGTGGGAGGTGGAACTAAACCTATTTTATTTCTAACCCTCATCCATGGACAGAAGGAGAATTATTTTCTGGACTTTCTACTTGAAATGACACCGTTGCTCTAATTTTGCCTGCCAATGTTCTGGACTCGTGGAGTTGCCTGATGATGTCCAATGGATCAGGTCCTTCTTAACCAACTCATCCCCCAGGAACCTCATGGGAAATACCAGCCAGATGTCTCTGAATCACTTACACTCTGGCTACCAGGCTGTTTGCAAAGGGCTCTTTTCATGTCCTGGTGGCCAGACGCGCCTGGATTTTATGAGCCAAACTTCTAGTCTCAGGAAGTCCTGTGCTGCTGCCACTAAATAGCCTTCAGAATGGCTTCATTTTGAAGTTCCGACACCATAAAGTGTGAATGGTTTCAAGACGTCACAGGCCTTTCCTCCTTCACATCCTTTCTGCTTGTGCTGTTCATGAGCCCATGTGTGCACATCACACAAACACAAATACATGGGTACTCACACATGCACTGCTGCCCTCTCTCCACAATGGCCACTCCCTCTGGTCATCGATAAATTTTAAAGAAGTGTGTTCTCACTGAGTTCTGTGATCGGCTGCTGTGATTTCCCCTAAGTGTCCAGTCCCTGAGAAGATTTGACCTTCCTGCACATTGTAAGCCTCAAAGGAAATGTGTTTCATTTTAGCTTCATGGTTTGTTGTATTGTCTCATATGTTTTTCAACTGCTAGTGGAGAAATGGAAAGAATATATAAAAGGAGATAAGGGGAAAATGCTGACTTATTCTTGGACACTCCTTCTTGGTTCTTTCTCTTACTTTCCTCCATTTCTCTCTCACACTATGCCCACCACAGATCTCCGGGAGGATTTTATTTGAAGCTGTTTATACACCCATGGAGAGGGAAGCACTGAGTTTCACAGGACAGGTCAAAATCTTACTGCTTTTGGCCAAAGGTCATTGTAATGATTAAGTCTGGAACACTCTTTAAAATAAATTATAAAGGTCAAAATAGAACAAAGGCAGAGTGAGCTTCTGACTACAAAAATAAAATGGTTGTAGTTAGAGTTGTCAAAGGAAAACATTGTTCAATCATAAGTTCTCAGATGCAGTGACCAAATTTTGTCCATTTTTATGTCCCTCACAGGGCATCCTGATGCCTGATAAATGGAAAGGATTTAAAATTTGTTTTTGGACAAATCACTGCTGCTTATATTCACATTCATCTCTAAAAGAGGCGTAGATTGGATTTTTAAATGAACTATTGCAAAGCTAGTGACATTAAGAGTTAACAGACTCTCAAGTGACAGCCAAGCAATTCACCTAGTCTGCATATTAACAAGTCAAAGTAAACTAGTGAGAAAGACTTCACATACTTCCTGGTATAACTTCAAATACAGGTTCCACTTGCAGCTTACCCTCACTTGTTTATATCATCCACAGGGAAAGAAAATACGCCATTCAGATATGAAGTGAGTCATTTGGTGCAATTAGTTGGCAAATTTTTTTTTTAAAGATTCATTTATTTATTTATACAAGCACTGGGTACAGTCAGAAGTGCGGGAGAGAATTCACCAGAGCCAGAGCAGGGAACAGAGCAGGCAGACTGACGAAATACACTGCTGAGGGGAGCAGCGGGTGGCAGGAGAGGTCTGCGTGCCATGTGGGACCCTCGCCAGTGGCAGGGGATCAAACCGGCACTGCAGAGTCTGTGGGCAGCTCCGCAGCCCAGCGCTCAACCACTGCACCACTGGGGAGGCCCAGTTGGCAAAATTTTACTGAGTTAAAGTTTGGCTGGAATACTGCATGAGCTGGAGGCCATTTGTATTAAAACCCCCAGTCATGGTTGGTTTAATGTTTTGGTCAAAATGGATGGCATATTAGCTGGTGGTCCTGATAGGCTACACCATATAGCTTGCATGAACAGAAGGCTAGACCATCCAGGTTTGGGTAATTACACTCTATGGCACTTACACAATGACAGAATTGCCTACACACCCTGTTGTTAAGTTATGCATGATAGTACCACCGATGGGGTGTCTCTCTCCGTGCTTTCTGTTTTATTTGAAATGTCAAAAAACAAACATAAGGAATCCTATTGAGGATTCCATATTCAATAGTTTTTACATGCTGCCTACTTTTTTAAGCCCTAACAATGAAAAATGATTATAAAATAAAAATTCTGAGTAGTAGAAACATACCAAATAGTACTAAAATATCATAACTGACCTAAACCCTATGCACACACCATTCACACTTAATACTTTTTTTTTTTTTTGTGGGACCCTTGCTGGTGGCCAGGAATGGAACTGGAGCTGCAGAGGCTGCTGGCAGCCTGGCAACCCAGCGCTCAACCGCTGCACCACCAGGTGAGGCCCCACACTTAATACTTTTTGCCATATATGCTTTAGTTTCTTAGAGAAAACATAGATTCAGCCAAGGCAGTGATCCTCTCTCAATTCCCTTCCTTTCCCTTCCCATGCTTGAATTTATAATTTTATTGCATGTATGTGAACCTATACTGATAAACCTTAGATATCTGAGATTATAATAATGTAAAGAATTGGAAGTAGTGTTAAACGCTTGGTGGGGGTGTATAACGGTGTGACATTTTGGAAAGAGTGGGCAATCACTATTAGATTAAAGATCTTCAGTGCCCCAGCAAGTGTAGGTTGCCTCCCTGACTCATGTGTAACAGGCAACCACGTGTGTTCCTTGAAGCTTCCAGAAGACTGGAAGCAATGTAAACATTAGTTGAAAAGGTAGTAAATCAGCTGTGAGTCATTCAAACAATGGAATATCACACATCTGTTAAAAGGAATAATTTATATATAACTATGTCAATGTAAAAAGAATGTTGAATTTAAAAAAAAAGGAAATAACCAAAGTTTTTATTAAGTATTTGTGAATTTAAAATGATGAAATTTAAAATGAAGATCTCTTCATTTCATTTCAGTGTCCAGATGTGGAGGTTTAAAGTGATCAACTGTGAGTCAAAGCAAGTAAGTGAGATTTCAACATCGCTTCCCTCCAGACTATTTCATGGGACTTTATTAAGCCTCTGGAGTAGCACTGTCCAGTAGAATTTTCTGCACTAGTGGAAATGTTCTATATCTGTGCAGTACCATATGGTAGCTCCTAGTCACATGTGGCTCTACTGAGCACTTGAAATGTGGTCAGTGTGACTGAAAAATGGATAAATTTTTCATGTAACTCAATTTAACTATAAATAGCTACCCATGGTTCATGGCTACTGTCTTGTTCTCCTAGCTTTAGATCTACCCACCTTCAAATACAGGGAACAGGGGGGATTCATTCAGCAAAATACAGCTCTGGGAAACTCCTAGCAAACTAACCTGGTGCCTTCAAGAAAAAAGATGCCAGCAGAGAAAGATGGGAGGAGGTGGGGAGGGGTGGAACTGTAAAGTAAAAGAGACTTAAGAGACGAAATGACCATATTTTGATACCTATTTAAACAAACTGTCAATATAGGTCATATTTCATGAATTGATGGAAATTCAAATAGAGTCTGGGCATTTCTTAGGTGTGATAATTTCATCGTGATTTTTTTTAAAGTCTCTTTCTGAGAACTACATACTAAAATATAGTTTAAATCATATTATATCAGCTGTGATTGGCTTCACTATAATAAGGAAGAGCGGCTGTAAGTTGAAGTATTGCTGAAGCAAGATTGATGGTGAGTTGATAGTCTGAAGTTGAGTGATGGGTATACAAAGGTTTATTATGCTATTCTGCCTAGTTTGGTATATTCTTGACATTCCCATAGTACATGGTTAAAATTATTAGTGTAAGTGGCAATCAAATGTGTTTCTTAGAATTTTAGGACTAGGTTTCACCCTCTTGAAGACTATTTCACTTAGATAACTTTGGAAGGGTAAGAAAAGTCCTCAGTGCAGGGCATATATCATCTCTCTAGAAAACTCCTGGCATTATGGGATGAGAGATTGAATTACTCTGGGTTACATGCCCATGATCAATGCAGAAACACAAGTCATGGTCCCATCTCATTGAGGGCATCAGACTTAATATCCCTCTTTCTTTTCTTACATTAGAATCTTTGGGAGGTTTTCACATCTACTAAGCATTTATATTTTATTTTGTACTTATGAGATCTTCCAAACTTTCAGTTCCAGCTCATTTTCCCTGCAGTAGTACACAGCAGGGTAACAGAAAGGACTATGCCAGGGTAAGCTGGCATAGACCAATTCTGGGTCTCTCTTCAGTTGTTATGTTAGACAGTTGAACTAGATGCTCTTGGAGTGCCCTTACAGAGTTAAAGATGCTGTAATTTTTTTCCTGTACTAATTATCCATGGCCTCCCCAAATAGGAGGGCACTTTCTACCACATTTATTTCATGTAATAACTTAGAAATCTGAGTATGTGCATGTGTGTGTGTATGTGGGTGGGGGGGGGAGAGAGCAAGAGAGCAAGTGAGCTGTAGACTTGGCAGGGTTTGAAATTCACAAATCTTTCTCCTTATTGCTTATGATTTCACTGTCCCTGTAAATGT